GCAAATCCAACCGGAGAAAGGCCCAGGGGACGGCCAAGATTAACCTGGTGCAAAGATATGGAAGGAATCTGTTCCAGACTGCAATTGTCTTTTGCCGAAGCTCAAACTCTGACGCAAGATCACGAACGTAGGAAGCTCTATCTGACATGTATGCCTCCATGACCCGAAGGAAGAAGCGGCCATGAAAGATGAAGATGAAGAAGAAATTGTCTGCACACTTCATGCTAAACACAGTACTAAGATAGAGAATGCATTTATACACTAAGAAACTTTACTCTGGGTCATTCAAAGCAGCTGTTATGAAATGAATGAAAATAGAGTTCTAAGGCCAACATAATGCAACGCAAACCGGTTTTAAAAACCATTAGGTGCTATATGTCACTGTTCCTGCGTGGTTTACCGTAACTTTACAAACTACGTTAGCAAACTTTAAGATCAAAGTCAAAAGTGTCTCCCAGAAAAAGGTTGTGGGAATTAAGGCACAGATACAGGTTTATAAAGGTACAAGTATTAGTAATTTAAATAATTTAATATTGAGTTAGGACTGTGATACTTAAGAAAAAGCGCAACAGTCTTGTATCTTAAAAGAGCAAGTCACCTATAGGACAAACCAAACTTGATCAAGCAACCTTTATTTGCATTACAAGATTAGTACACTACGGGCACCGTGGTTGTGTTCAAATGTTTATGAGCATAATGAAAAAATGGGCATAAAATGAGCTAAAATAGCGACTTTATGCTGTACTCTAAGGTTCACTACACTGGCAACTTATAGTTGCCACCGCCACAAAAATGGCGGTGATATGTGCCTGCTTTCGGGTTGAATCGAACATCACAGCCAATACGATCGCCAGATGCAGACAAATATTTCGAACTTATCAATATGCTCCATGAGCATTATTAAAACTGGAGATACAACGGTAGACAGACATAAACATTTGACATACACAATAAAGTTGGTGGCGCGAAACTGATCCAAGGAGTCTTATAAATAAGGAATGTCTGCAAACCTAATATTGAAGATTGTTTGAATACTGACACAGAGTAAATCACATGACCATCATTTAACACGCAGGACGAAAGTGTACTGCGTTCTACCCTCGTTTTACTTGTATCTAACTGTTGTGTAATTTAAGCTCATGATTCTTAGATTTAATTCAAAAAGCAACATTTGGTTAAGAAATAGACTTTAAATTCTTCATTTCAGAAATAATAAAAAATAAGACCGTAAGCTTGAACGTACGCTGAGTGCTAGTTGAATGAGGACGATCTGCGGCTTCAGACGATCGTGTAGACATGCCTCCTTCGCACATGTTATCATCAGAAGATTCTCCTTCGCTTTCACGCAATGACTCGGTTTTTCGCTGATGCATATCTCTGCTCGACCACTAAAAAATCAGGGAACAAGAAGAACCACATATGAAAATAAAACAATCATAGCAATTTGTCCTTACTGACCTGCCTCACTCCAGATT